GTGCAAAGTAGAGTAGCGCAGCGAGACCCCATGTCCCACATAAACGGTTGAGTAGAACTACCGGTAGTTCTACGGAAAAAAAAAATAAAAAATTCAGAAGAAATGTGAAAAAAGAGAAACAAATGCTGTCAAATTTTGCAGCCAAAAGCTTTTGTTCGCATTTTTCGAAAAGTAAAAGGGAAGAAACAAAATATTCCGAGTGAAAGTCTCCGCGTTGTACGTGAAGTTGTAGACTGGGGTGGCCTATGCCGTGTTATGAACATGGACCGTTTTTGTGACTCTGTGCATTCATTTGAAGTTGGAGACTGGGGTGGCCTATGCCGTGTTATGAACGTGGACCATTTTTCTGGCTCCGTTCATTCAGTGGCCATGTTAGTATGTGAGTGCCCGCCCACGGCCGTCAAAAAGAAAGGAATGAGCGGAATTCTTTGAGACATAAGTAACAGTATGTGTCACGTTCTGACACTGCGGCTGTCAGACTGTCCTCCTACGGAGAGTTAAACCACCAGTACACGGCCCCAGCTTTGCTGTCCGAAACTTTTCGCCACAAGAAAATGAGGCTGAAACGTCAAACGCCGCGCTCGCCGTTGATAAATTAGATCGGCGGTCGCGGTTTCGTTTCGCGCCTCCAGAATCTGAGGTGTCAGGTCCGCGGCGCAGGTGCCCATGTACTGGTGCTTTAATGGGTCTCGCTCCACTAGTGTCCACTGTACAAAATTGTGGACAGTTCGTGGACAGTTATAGGAGCGTACAGAAATGGTGTAAATGTGGCATCGCTGCACTTGCTGTACACTGTACACCACCGGAATATGTGAGTTCCCTATGAGACACAGGCACAGAACAACAAGACATCCTCTATAGCATTTTGTACGCCCAGACTCCAGGCTCGCCTTCCAAAAATGCGCAGGGTGCGTGGGTTCGTACGAGGACAGTCCACAAAAGTAATTGTGCAGGCTGGGAGCTATACAAAACTGGACAGTCAATTTTGCAGGGTATTTCTGACAAATGCCCAAGCCATTTTGCACACCAATAATGGACAGTAAGCGGAGCGAAGTCCGACTGTCCATTTTCGTACAGTGGACAGTAGCGGAGCAAGGGCCAATGATGGCTCAACGACCCTAGAACTGCCGTCTTCCCCCGAACATAACGCACCCTGAAAATGAAAGTATACAAGGTATGTTTCCGGCCCGATACAGGCAAAATGGGGTTGCGTTATGTTCGGGGGAAGACGGTAGCTGCCCCACTCGAAACGGGCCACAGCTAGTTCTACGGAAAATGGGCAGGGTAGGGGGCGTTCTATTCTAATCAGATGCAGCCGATTTAATATCCATTTTTGTAACACGAAATACAAAAGAAAATACTTCGCGGGAATTCCCACGGAAACCACCGATGGATGCACAGAAGCAGCTGAGATCGTAGCGGTCACAAAAAGTCACACCGTAGAACTAGTTCTACGTCCGCGGTGTATGTGGGACATGGCCCCGGGAGTCATGTAATGAATTTTTTGGAATTTTCAGGGGAACAAGAAAAGAAAGCTGTCTTTCTTTCTTTCTTTTCTTTCTTTTTTTTTTTTTTTTTTTTTTTAAGAGGGAAAATTGTTTAATTGCCCCTGAAAGCTGGGGTATTTCGTCAGATGCCCCTAAAAGCCATGGGTATGGCGAAATGCCCCTATGACAATTGTGGAACTTTGCAAAATGCCCCACTCGCCAATTGGACCTGTCATCTTTCGCATATACCCCTACCGAGCCCTGGGCAACTTATCTATAAGCCCCAGGATTTCTGGCTGTTGGACCCTGCCGATGGCACGCACAAAAAATGCTGAGTCCCCTCCAGCCTGGGGACAGGGCATAAGGAGAAGTTGTCAATGACCAGGACAGGGGCAGATGCACAAGTTGATGACATTTCCTGATACCCCTGTGTTTTAGGTGTATCTAACGAACTAACCCAACTTTTGAGGGTATTTCAACACTTTTCCTTTTTTTTTAACTGAGGTATATTCTTCTCTCAATTTCACCTTTTACTATCTACCTACCACTATTCCTAAGCCGATACAGGGGACCCCTGCAAGCATATCTACCTCTCACAATTATAAGGGGATGCATAGTGCCCCCCGTCCTAATCGGCGGTGGTCAGGGAGTAGCGTGGGCCCACCCGGGGGTGGGGTGGGGTGGGGTGGGGTGGGGTGGGTAGGCGGGGGGGCAAACTCTGCTGAGAGAAGGATAATATGTTCATGGCAAATTTTGCAACCTGGAGTATCAACGTTACGGTATGAGAAAAAGGTCCCGCATTGATGGGACAGGTCAAGAGTTTGAGGTAAAGAGGAAGACGCAGGCACCGACAGAGTGCAGGTTCGAAATTACATGAAAGGTCCCAGATTGGATCAACAGTCCTTCTGGGCAAAAGAAACCAGACCCTACTATGGGCCCATAAAGCACCAGTACATGCCAGCTATCGGCCGCAGGCCCCTTTCCGAGGCCGCCCACCGCCAAATTGAATTCATTTTATGGATGGCGCTCAGCCTCTTAAAATTTTGGAGAGGCTCAAAACATGGTTCTCTAGTTGCCTGCGGCCATGTACTGTACTGGTGGTTTAACAATGGGACCAACAATGCAGGTACGATGAGTCCCGTGTCCCAAGTCCCGAGTCCTGAACCAACGATCCCAACCCGTCAAAATGGGTAAAACATGTGAAGAGGGGTGGAGCGAGGCTGAAGATCATTAGTGATCCCTCCCTCCCCCCCCCCTCCTCCCCCCCAACCCCCACGCTTTACTACCCTCTTCACCCGAATACAACATATTATGGTTATTATAACTGTATTTGGGGCAATTTTGAGTCTAGATACATGGATAATGACCGTACGTAGTATACACTGGGGGTCGAATAGGGTTCTTGAAAACTGAAAGCTGCCAGAGGATATGAATTTCCAGATCCTCTGGTCTCCATCGCCATGTCTGGTCCAGATCGGACTGTCTGATCCAGACTGGAGTCTGTTTTTTTTTACTTTTTTTTGCCCTTTTGAAAATTGAACAAGAGAAGTGAAAAAAAAAAAAAAAATTAAGAAGAAGAAGAAGAAGAAGAAGAAGAAGAAGAAGAAGAAGAAGAAGAGAGGTAGATAGCTACGGTTGCAGGGGTCCCCGGTAAGCCTTAGGAGCAGTGGTAGGTAGGTCATGAACGGATTCGAGAGAAGAATATAGTGTAGTATTTTTTAAGTTCAAAAGAAAAAAAAGAAAAAAAAGGCATAAGGCTGCTATGTTTCGGTTGAGAAAAAAGAGCTCGGCTGGAAATTAAAAAAATAATAATAAAAAATGAAGGAAAAGAAAGCATCTCAGGTTGTCCAGGCCAACCTGTCACCTAGGGATGGCCCTTCGGTTTCAGGTTGGCCACCGTGGATAGTGCTGCTCCATCTACTGGTGGGGACCACCACCTGCTGCAACCAGGGCCATTGCGCCAAATCATAGGGTCCAAATTTTGAAAATGCAGTGTGTCAGTCCACTTCGCAGGCTTATCTTCTGACGAAACTGCAAGGCTGAACAAACTTGCTGGTCTGAGTCATTTAAACTATTTTTGCGTCAATAACTTAACTCAGGCCTGAACAAATCTCCTGACTGGGCTTTCTCGTGGCACTGCTTCAGAGTCTTGATTTTGATTTTGCACTGCGGTGCTGCTGCCCGCCCCCCCCCCCCCCTCCCCCACCAAAAAAAAGAGGGATCTGTAAGGGGCACCGATCACATCAGACAGGGTTCGGCTTCCTACAGTTTCCAGCCAGGTCCAGCCTTAGGCTACCACATGTGGTCCAGGCCCGGCACCGGCTCCACTTAGTGGTCCATTCGGTCCGTTTTCTGTGGTCCATTCGGTCCACTTTCTGTGGTCCATTCGGTCCGTTTTCTTGCCAGGCGAACAACACCTTCTGGCCCAGACAACGAAGGACCGGTGTTGTTTGCCTGGCAAGAAAACGAGCCCTGTGGTCCATTCGGTCCACTATCTGTGTCCTTCTCTCTCTCTCTCTCTCTCTCTCTCTCTCTCTCTCTCTCTCTCTCTCTCTCTCTCTCTCTCCCCACACACACACACAAAAAAAAAAAAAAAATTAAAAAAAAAAAAATCCATAGAGCTCCGCTCTGTCATTAGTCTGTTTTAAAGACGGGCTGTTGGAATGGGAACCGGGGGCTAGGTCCCACTTACACGAATTAAGAGATATTGACCGTAGATAGCAAAGATCAACGGTCAAAATCTCGTAATCCATGCAAGAGGGACCTTGCCCCGGGCTGATGCTCCCGAGAATAGAGGGCTAACCCCTCCTATGGGGAAAAAAAGGGAGAGGTCAAGGTGCCCCCCGGCTCCCTTCCGCCCTGGTCAACCCGTCAATGTCAATATGGTATTGCTATCTTGACTAGGGGGGTTGAGGGGCCATATTTTGTGTGGGGAACTGCCTTTTCTTTTTTGCCCCCATACTTCAGTTCATTTCTGACTGTAGATTTCCAAAGATTAATAGCAAGGGAAAAAAAAAAAAAAAAAAAAAAGGAGTCTGGATTTCCTCCAAAAAGAAAAAGAAAAAGCGGGACCTCTCTTTCCTACTATTGGCTTTACCATGTTGGTCAGCAGTTAACTTTTTTTTTTTTTTTTTTTTTTGCCTTGGTGCCAATTGTGCGCTGTGTGGCCTTTGATTGATCACTATTAACAGTCCTGGATGTGACTACGGCTAGAAGAAGAGGGGACCAGTTGTTGCGTACAATGCATAGTACCACTTCCTGACCCTCCTCCTCCCTCCTCCTCCCCCCTCCTCCCGCCTGGGGGACTGGGTACTACACATCTGTTGGCCAACTTGACGCAACAAGGAATCTGGTCATGGAGATGGAGAAGATTCAGAAGGACATGAAAGCCGGCTGGATTTAATGTCAATGATTTTCTTCCATCCTCAGAGTCTGACTCTTACTTAGTTCTCATCCAAGGATCGGAGTGCAGTCGTCTCGCTTTAGCGAGCGAGAGGTACTATTAGGCTTAGAGTATAAGGTGGTGGTGCACTGGGAGAATGGGAGAAATAGTGGTAGTAGGTGCCAACCAACGCCACAGTGTACAAGGTGGTGGGAGAATGGGAGAAGTGGTTGCTCAAGCTGTTCTGTCGCACTATAGATCTCTGAAGAAGACTGGCAAACCTCAGGGAGGAAGAGAATACACTGTGCTGGCAGGCTTTGCGTTGACGGATGCCGACGCTCCTAGTACGGAGGATGCGATCAGGGTTGTCGCCCTAGCTACGGGGACGAAATGCATAGGGCACAGTCAGCTCAGCGACAAGGGAGACGTTGTGAATGACTGTCATGCAGAAGTCGTTGCCAGACGGGCGCTTATCCGGTTCTTTTACGCAGAGTTGAATAACCTTCTGACAAGCACAGAGTCTGACAGAGAGTGTGTCAGACGGTGCGTCAGAGAGTCCATTGACGAGTGTGCTACAGTAGACAGCTTGTCAGGATTAACACCTGACGTGATCCCAGCTGGAAGTCCAGGTGTTGTCCCTGGCTGTGAGGATCTGGTGAACGGACAAAATCGGCAGGAAGTGGCTGCGGAAGCTGTCACGGAATTGTCGGGAAAGGACCTGATTCATGGTGGTCCTTCAGGGGTATTTTTAGAACAGAGAGGGTACGAGGGCGGTGCAAGACAACCCACCGCAGTTGGGGGGGCGAGAGGACCGGCATTCGCGAGTGAGAGCGCAAAAAAATCCATATTTGAATGGGTAGTTGACGGCGATGATCGCACGAGCTGGTGCGAAGGAGCTGACTGTGTGCAGAGATGCGAAGGGATCTTGCGGGCAGAAGGAGATCATGGTTCAACTTGGACGACAGAAGGACAACCCTCGCGGGGATGGGAAAGTGCAAAGGGTTTGGAAGCGCATCGGGGAGGTGGAGAACGTTTGCACGAGAGCAAACGAGTCGCAGGAAGGAGACGGGTGCGGCTTCGACCGGCTCTTAGACTCCACCTTTACGTCAGCCAAACACCATGTGGAGATGCATGCATCTTCTCACCCATGGCAATGTCCAGCGACGACAGCTGTGAGGCGGTCCCTGCCGCCGCTGCCGGGGCGAAAGACGCCGCCATAGCCGGAAACACCGCTTCTGAATGCATGATCCCTGCCCGCCGTCATCTCAAGACCGGTGCCAAGCTCGCAAGTCTTCCACTTGGTGCTGATTGGCAGGATATACTGGCTGCCGAAGAACTGCAGCTAGTAATGACCAGAGACGGCCATGATAATTGCGCAAGGACAAGCTTTAAGGCGCCCCTAGCTAAGAGCAAGGAACCTGAAGATGGTACTTTGAAGGAAGTAGAAAGGACTCGAAGAAGCATGTTATTAGATAATGCACATCAGGTTCATCGCCGGGCGGAGGATCCCAATTACACCAGGCAAATCTTGGACTCCACCTCTAGGAATCAGCCCCACGATGACGCTGATGACGATGGTAGTGATGCGAAGAAGCTCAAGCCGACTCTCTTTCAGGCAGCAGGAGCTTTGCGACGGAAACCGGGTCGTGGAGATGCTACGCTATCGATGAGCTGCAGCGACAAGATTGCCCGATGGAATGTGCTGGGAGTGCAAGGTGCCCTTCTTTCGTTGTTTTTGGAGGAGCCCATCTACATTTCGTCGATTACGATCTCTGTCCATGTTCCTCCTCCATCCTTGTCCGGCAAGGGGTTACCGGACGCTGTGGAGGGCTACACCCCATTAATATCAGCTCCGATTCATGCAGCAGCTATTCCGGCCGCAGTTGCTGACAGGGAAGTAGCGAAGGTTCTTGTCGGCGACGCAAAGGACATGATTTCGCACATGATCCATGCTGAGCCACAGAGATCAGCGGCCACAGGGATCATACTTGAACGCAAAGGACATGATTTGGCACATGATCTCGTCGGAGTCGGAGACGCCAAGGAAGAGTCTGACGTGAACACACATGATCCATGCCGAGCCACAGGGATCAACGGCCATCATTCGTCATTGGCTGGCGAGATTGTTGCCACCACTGTGACAGCGACTGTTACTGACGAGGAAGGGGCGGAGGTTCTCGTCAGAGACGCAAAGGAAGTTTCGTCGGAGGTGGAGGGCGCCGAGGACACATGCCTACCGACAGGGATCGGAAGTCAGCTACATGGGTACCAACGTTCGCTACCACGTGCGTTCTTTGGCCGCTTGGCTCCTTTGACCGAAAACCTACGACCGCCGTTTCGGCTGAACCGGCCAAAGCTATGGTTGGCCCCGGTTCCACCGCCGGATCTCTCCTTGTGCTGCCACGGAGACAGTATCGCCTGCGGTTTCTCTGTCGTCTGGAACGCCAGCGGGACACACGAAGTTGTACTTGGCACTACAGGGCGAAAGCAAGGTGCCAGGAAGACGGGCCCTTGGTCCCCCGCTACAAGATCCTCGGTCTGCAACGCGTCAATGCTGGCGCATTTCCGTGCCATTGTTCATCACTTCCCTGAATCAGATCCACAACACCTTCAGCAACTCTCGTACGGCAATCTGAAGATGTCCGCCTCTTCTTACTCGGCGGCTCGCTCCGTGCTTCTGGAGTCAAACACGTCAACCTTTAAAGGGTGGCTGGTCAAACCCCATCATTTGCAGCAGTTTTCTTGAAAATGAGGGCCCCGGGTGAACTTACTCTCCATGTAGCAATTTACTATGTGATCAAATGGGTTATTGACAACTTACTGTGGTAATTTACGGGTTACCATATCCAGAACTTTCGACCGCTACTACCCCTCCTTCGGATGTAGCAATTTACTATGTGATCAAATGGGTTATTGACAACTTACTGTGGTAATTTAGGGGTTACCATATCCAGAACTTTCGACCGCTACTACCCCTCCTTCGGCAAAGCTTGGCGCGCAGTCCTTTTCTCTTTTTCTTTTTTTTTTTAATTGTTGTTGTTTCTCTCTGTTTCTGCAATAATTGTGTAAAACTGTAAATCCATGGCTGAACTGAAGTAAAGCCTTAGGGAGAAAGACAAAGAAAGAAACTTCAAGAAAGAGAGGGCGAAAAACTTTAAGGCATCTTGCGATCCAGTTTCTACTTGTTCTTTCCCCCCCCTCCCCCCACCCCCTGACTTCTCAGGCTAGGAGGGAAGGGAACTTCAAGGTAGTTTTTTTTTGTGGTTTGACTGTTTTTTTTTAACTTTTTCTCTCTTTTTTTCTCAACAATTTAGGGCGTGCCTGGCTGTTCAAAGATTTTTCTGTTGAACCCTCTGAAAGAGAGTAGTGGGCATACACTCAGCCACCAGGCAATATTCCATATGCATCCGGACTGAATCATGGGCCCGATGCATTCAGACTGACTCAGTGAGGCGTGGAACCCACAGGACAAAATTGTGGTCCCAATTTGGGGAACAGGCGTGGAAAAGACGGCCAGGAAATACTTTTCCGAGACTCCATTGGACGAAAGAGGCCATCTGGAAAACCGATTTTTTGGAGGTGCGGGCGGTTTTCTGGCGCCCCACTGCCTGGAAAACGCACTCCGGAAAACTGCCCTTTTGCGTTTTCACACGACTTTCTGCTGGAAAACGCACTCCGGAAAACTGCACTTTTGCATTTTCACATGACTTTCCGATTGGAAAACTGGCACCGGTGGACTTTCCGTAGGAATTTTGTGCGATTTCCAGAGGGTAGGGCGGGAGGCATGTCCTTCGTTGGAAACTCCTCGCCAAACTGCTGGGCCATCGATGGTCCGAGCCAAGACGTGCCGTGGTTCAATGGCGACAGGCACGGACATGCATGCTCTTGTCACCCACAAATGGGTCCTCGCCACCGGGACCGCGGGAGGGATGCCGGGGCCCGCCAGTTTTTCTAGTTCGAATTCGGAAAACAGACGCTTTACGTAGTGCGTGACGTGAACCTGGCCACCGGTGTGTCATACAGGCAGGACACACGGTGGACGTGCTACCAGAGCCACATGCACATAGGTGCACACATCCTGCTTGCCCGTCTCTCGCAGACAATCTCCTTCATCCACTGCCATGCGTGGCATCGCCAGTGTGCTTCGCTCAATGCTCGCTCGTGGGATCATGGCCACGTCCTCTGGGGGTGGGCCGCTACGGCAGTGAACCGGCAGCTGTGCTCACAAGGGCCATGCAAGTCCCTGCTGGTTGAGGGGAGGAGCTCTCTGAGACTCCCTGCCAACGGCACGACGCGATGTGCGATGACAAACAGGAAAAAAAAGACCTAAGCTAACGGTTTGCCCCCCCCTCCCCGGGTGGTTCCTGTCCCAATGGTCCCATGCTGCCAGCTGTGGCCTCCACAACAAAAGAAGCCTTTGGCCGCAAGAGTACCACCGCCTCTGAACACGGTACCCCCACAATGTCACCCAACAATGGCCCATCAGTCGCGCGTTGTCACTCGCCACCACCCAAGACCGGATAGSGGWGRYTCCAGCTGTGGACTCCACAACAAAAGAAGCCGTTGGCCGCAAGGGTACTGCCGCCTCTGAACACGGCACCCCCACAATGTTGCTCAACAATGGCCCATCAGTCGCGCGTTGTCACTCGCCACCACCCAGGACCGGACATCCGAAACAGGTCCGCTGCCCTTTAAACGGACAGCCGCGACGCCCTTCGAACGGACAGCCGCGACGACCACGTACTGGTCCCTCTCGAGTTTCCAGCCTTTCCCATCTCGGAAAAAAACTGCCCTTTCCAGCCTCTGCGGTGCGGTACTGTCTTTCTGCAGGCGAGGTCTTCCAACGACCCTTCCACCAAAAATCAGTACTATTCCAACACTTTTTTCCTGTGAGGTCCAGGCCTGACCCAACATTTGAGATGTATCAGGTCCAGATGCATTTCAAATGTTGTGTAGTGCAGAGATGCGCCAAGGCCCACCATGCTTAAAAGAAGAAGACTAAGAAGGAACAAAAGAAGAAGAAGAAGAAGAAGAAGAAAAAGAAGAAGAAGAAAAAGAAGAAGAAGAAAAAGAAGAAGAAGAAACAGGAGAAGAAGAAGAAGAAAGGTGCATGCATAAATACAAGCAGTTACGCACAGCAATTAAGCAAAAAATGGGCCTTGTTCCGCAAAGCGGCATTTGAAAATTGAAATGTATCCAGACCGTGCTTCCTACCAGATCCACTCAGGCCGATTCAACATTTTGAATGTATCAGGACCATCACCGGCTTACAGGTTCATTTAGCACGTTGTGCAGTGGAGCAAGGTCCAAGATACCAAGCCGACAGATGACAGTCCAATAGCAAACCCGGGTTTTGTTAAAAGATAAAAAATAAAAAAAATCCAATGCAGAGAGTCCAGCAGGCCAGCCACTCCTGAGTGAGGGAGAAAATGAGTGGAGGAGTAGGTATCGGGACAGGACTTTCAAAATTTCAATTAAAAAAAAAAAGAAAAAAAAAAGAGGACAATGGTGAATGGAGCAGCCATGAAGGAGAAGGAAAATGGAGGAACAACGAAGATGGAGGGCCGCACTCCACTGCTCAAACATTTGACACGTATCTGGACTGCACAGTGGACCAAATACATCGGGAATGATTGAACGTTCTGTGCATTGGGACCATTACCAGCTCCAGGTACATTTAGAATGTTATGCAGAACCTAGCATATCATGTATGAAGAAATCAAAAAAAAAAAAAAAAAAAAAAACCATGAGGCTGGGAATTTTTCAACTGAATCTGGCCTAATTTCCTTTCAGATTCATTAGAAACACAGTTAAACAGTTTCAAATGTGAGTATGCTCTCAGTCTTTGTGACTCTACAACAGAAGTGAAGGAAGGAAGTTCAAGGAACAAAATTCTGAATTTTTTTTTTTTGAAAAAAACACAATTCTGAAGAAAAAAAAAGAACAGAAAATTCTGTGAAAAGAAACAGCAGCAGAATGTGCCATACTTGGAAGCCACACTTGTCCATTGTCTACAAAATCTGGCTGTTATCTGCCTGTATCTAGTGTAATTGCAGTCCAATCCACCCCAAAAATTCCTAATTCAATTGAGGGAAAAAAAAATTATAGTCAATGAGTGAATGACAAAATAAATTAAATAATCATTTAACAGTGGCCCTCTTCTGAATCTCCACCTCCACTCTTCATTCGGTGAATTTCAAGATTGCGTCTCCGACTCTCCGCTCCACAGACTCCGGATTCGTGATTCGAATGTTGTCAGAAAGATTCGGTTCAGGAAGATTTGGTCGAGAAACAACAAGAGAAAAATCAAAGTCCTCAGCCTGCCTACTCTCGAAAAGCCGGCCGCCCTTTTGTTTTGTGAGGGACGCCCGGCCCGGTTCCCAGCTTGTATAATGCAATGTGTTCTTTTTTAAAAAAAAAATTAAAAAACATCCTCGAAAAAAATAGAGGGGCCTCTCGACCAGCCTCGATTTCCAAGAGCCGCCGGAGGACGCTGAGACACCTTTTTTTTTTTTTTTTGAAAGTGCCATGATCTGAGATATCCAGTCTCAATTCCTTTCTCCCACCTTTTGGGCCTAGTTGCCGAGGAGGCGCCTGGTTGCACTTACTGGCCAAACTTGGGAAATGAACGAAAAATATGTCAGACTGCTTGCGACACCGTCGACACACACAAGTTGTGGTGAGTGTTTCCGGTTTCCCTGCCTGTGCACAGCGGTTTGTGGAGGGTGGTGGTCCCAGGACCTGTCCACAAAACAACTTCAACCTTTTTTTTTTTTTTTTTTTTTTCCAACTTCAACTTTCTGGAGAGTGCACAGGGTCACGAGAGGAGATCAGGCAGATAATTTTTTTTTCAACTTTTCTGTAGAAGAAATATTGGGGCGAGTAAGTGCAACCATGCCTCCAGCTCGACACGATTCTCATTTTTTTCACGCTCCACCCATCCGTCATTTTTTTCACTCTCCACCCATCCGCCACGAATATTATAAAATTTTCATTCCTTTTTCTTTTTGGCCCTGCAGGGCAAGTCCACAAATATTATAAAATTTGGCCCTGCAGGGCAAGTGGTCCCGGGCCACTCTGGTAGCCTAGCTCTATACCATTCTCCGCCTTTTGGCTAAGTAAAATCAAGTGTATTACTATCTGTTCTGACGAGTTAAATATCTGATCCGTGGTCCATGGGGTCACATCACCCAAAAAAAAAAAAAAAAAAAAAAAGGAAGAAGAAGAAGAAGAAGAAGAAAATATCCAGTCTAAAAAAAAAAAGAAAGATTCCAGTGAGTTTGATATCTCAAAGCTGTGGCACTTTTGGAAAAAGAAAAGAAAAGGAAAAGAAGTGACAGCTTGAGGCTGATTGAGAGGCCCCAGGTAATTCATAATATTTTTTTGTTCTGTTCAGCTGATTGTATCTGGATTTGATTTTGGGCATGTCTTTTCAACAGTTCTTGGCCGTACCAACTGAGCTAGACCCATAGGTGCAACTGTTCGATTTTTTTTTATTTTTTTTTTCTTTTGGGGGGCGGGAATGCGGATCCGTCTTTCATCCACTATCCGACTTTCATCCAATATTTATAAATTTCTAAACAATCATTTAACAATGTCATTTCTCTCTGACTGAGGTCTATGTAACGGTAGTAACACATAACACAGCTGTCGATTATGTGGTTATCCATG